TTCTACCGGTTCTCACGGTCTCTTCGCTTGCAGAATTCTTATATTTTCTTCTACCCTGAAGATGGAGGCGATACGTTCCTCCGAAACGTCGGTTAACACCACTTATACACGGTGCCAAATCCCAGAAGACTGCTTTCTTCACATATCAATCAAGTTGCACATTACATAGTAATTGTGCAACTTGGTTATGACAGTTTGGATGAAACTGGTGAACCTTTTTCATTAGAGATAAGTTTTATAATAAATGAATGATTATTGCAGCTAGTTATACATGATGTCAAATGCTCCTATTCCGTGGAGATTGTGCCACGTGAAATTCTAGTGGGAAATGTTACATATGGATTTATTTGCATACGTAGTGTTCTGCTGTTACATTTCACTAACTTCTGGCGGAAGGTATTCCTTGAGCAGTTCTTAATCATTCAGCTTCTTGAGACAATCTCTGTTCTTGCAGACCCAAAAGTGTCATTACACTATGCACAGAGCTTGCCGTTAAGACCCACAATGAGCTGAATCAATTCAGTTCACATCTCACAACATAGTTTTCTAAGTAAAAGTTTACACTTCTTTTGGTAAATTTCTTTTAACCCTGTGTGGTCCCACCAACTTTAATTCTTTTCCAACTGTAATGCCATTTTAAATTTCCAACTAGTCAGATATAATCACCAGAATCAGCCTGAATTAGCTCTGGTGTAGGATTATGATGAAAGATGTAAAAAGCTAGGTTCAGTCATGTAGGATTACAGTGCAGAAAAGAAAAAAGGCTGAATTGAGCCTGGGTTAGCAATGGAACAGTCAGTTTAAAAAGGCAGACTTAGTCTGGGTTCAGACTGAAAATTGTTAATATTACCACCCATCTATGCCAAAGTCTGTATTGAGGTTTTCTCTCTGAACTTTTATATTAATTTCTCATTTCTCCCATGGGGATTGCTACATCATCCTTGTTGATCAGTCACCCTGACAGTACTAGGTAAACAGTTCAAATTATGAGGATCATCCTTATGTAATTATATACATTTTTGAGTTATTATCACTCTCCTGGATCAAAATATTCCCAATGTAAAACAGATCATTCAGTATTCATACATTAATGAAAACAAGGAGGTTAAGATGGAGTGGACATGTACCTCAGAAATGGAGCTAAGAAATGAGTACAAAGTTTTAATATCTTTGGAAACAGCCACATGGAATGCTGAGGATCAGATTGGAGGACATCATTAAGATGATGTTAAGGAAATACATTGTAAGCAATGTTTGTGGATGGAACTTCATTAGAATCACATGACAGTCATATTACGAGCAGCAGTGTTGATTCCATGGGATCCATTTTTGCAGAGTTATTTAATTATCTTAAGGTGTCTTGTGTGGAAAGGGGAGGATGGAAGATTCAAGAGAGAATTGTGCCACACATTTTCAGGATTTAATCTGTTTGCATTTTCACTTTATGTTAATTTATTGTCATAAAATATTAAGTATTATTTTTGGCTGATGATGAGTTCCTTATGAAAACGTCCATTATATCCTGGTGGATGTATTTCTTCAGGCATGGCTGTTCAGTTGAATTCTCGATTGAAAGAGCAGTGACAAGAAATGTCGAACCCACGCTGTGGTATGTTTTTATTTTAGCCATTGTGCCTTGATATGATGAAGTGAACGCAGACCACTGGCAAAGTAAATCTTTCAGAACACACAGCACAGAAGTGGCAATATTGGTTTTCATCTAAGCCTGCACACTTAACTTTATGGTGTGGACTGTGATGCTTTTAGGATGGTACACCCTGTAGTACTGCAGATGAAGCTGAAAAGTTTGAATATTTTAGTTTGAAATTTCTGTGCAGCACTTATGCACACCGCAAATGTTCTGATTGCAACCTGTGATACCACTTCATAATTTCTATGCTACAGCCAAGCTAAAGTTCAAATCAGTTATGTGTAACGTAAAGCTATCCCTGTAAGGACAGCAGTAAATTTGAGAACTTCATTGAAGAAAATCTGAAATGGAAGTCATTCAACACAGATATTGACTTGGGAGCAATGAAATTGAACACTAAATGAGGGAAACCCTTACACTGAGGAACATTAAATGATGGTTCCACTTCTTTGGTGTCATCAGAATCAAATATGTAGCTACAGTTCCATTATGGACCATTGTTTAACCTCAGGTTTTAATCAGACATTTATGGTAACTTTCATCTTTGTAAAATGTTCTGGTATCAGCACTGTCATAGGTTTATTTTTTGAAGGCAAGAAATCTGAAACAAAGATACAAAGATCACTGTCTAGACACTGACTATATATACAGCGTGTTCACACCGTAAATGGTGATTGCAGCACTGCGACAGCATCTGGGTGGATCCAGTAGCTGCATTTCAGTTCTTCTCACAGCTAAGTGTCGATTTAATTTGCAAACGTCAGGAAACAGGATTGTGCATACAATAAGTACCGATTCCTAGGCACTCAGAGTGTTTTTATGGTTTGCTGTAAAAAGTATAGTACCATATTCTTGTAAAAATATTACCTTATGTAAAGCTAAGGTAAATTTTTTGCTGTGCTTAACTAATTAAACCCTATGCCAAGAAGACATATAGGCAAGTGGATGTATATATCCACAGTTTCTTGACCTCGGCACTAGTTTCAGGTGAGTGGTCAGCTTCATGCCCCATCCACCTTACCCCCAGAGAAAGATCCTCTTGTACCCATTGGATAGGAGGCTGGGTGGGTCCCAGAACCAGTCTGGAGGACGCAGAGAAGAGAAAATTCTTGCCCCCTACCAGGACTTGAACTCCGACCCCGCAGTCGTCCAGTTCGTAGCTGGACAGTGTGGAGAAGAGAAAATTCTTGCCCCTACCGGGACTTGAATTCCGATCCCTTGGTTCAGTCCGTAGCTGGACAGTGTGAAGAAGAGAAAATTCTTGCCCCTACTGGCACTCGAACTCTGACCCCTCAGTCCAGTCTGTAGCTGGACAGTGTGAAGAAGAGAAAATTCTTGCCCCTAACAGGACTTGAACTCTGACCCCCTCGGTTTTTCAACCATTAGCCAGTCATTATACCAATTGAACTACTCCTTAGAGCAGTTAGAAAAATATAGATGTGTTTTTTGTATATAATTTCTCTTTGAGCTTCATAGTTCAGCTATATAGTTACATTAGCTTCCTTTCTTTTCAAAAAGGAAATGATTTTTGAAACAGTGTGTTTTATGCCTGCATGGTGATGGGCCTTGCAAACTGTGTGTATAGAAATGTTTGAGATCTGGAATTTTTTAGATGGACAGGGTTAAGTGCTTGGTATTTACACTTTGTTAGCCCAGGTGTGTTCTTGACTGCGTGACATTCATTTTAATGTCTCTTTCAGGGAACATATTGCACAAATATATGAACTGTTACATACTTTCAGCATTTAACGTTTTAGAGACATACAAATAACCTAAGTCGATGTGTCTGTACATTGTCATGTACCATACCATGGTAAAAAGGAAGGGTTCCACTTTGCATGCTACCCTTCATGTTTTTCTGTATTTCAGTAACTGTGTTGGATTGGAAACTTTTTTCCTTAAGAATAAAAACTTATCCCTGTGCTCAATTAGTTAAGCACTATGCCATGAAGACATATGGGGAAGTGGTGGTATAGCTCCACTTTTCTTGACCTTGGCACTAGCTGGAGGTGAGTGGTCAGGTTCACACCCCTGCCTCTTTAACCTCCCCCCCTCCCCAGGGGAAAGAGCCTCAGGTGCCCATTTGATATGAGGCTGGGTGGGCCCCAGAGTTTGTCTGTACACTATGGAGAAGATAATAATCGTATAGTACCTGGAACTGAACCCGGGCCGTCCAGCCCGTAGCCCTTCGGTATACCAACTGAGCTATCCGTACTCCTCTCCATAAGACCACTAGACCACAGAGGCCATTTGCCGACAAGCAGCGGTCGCTCGGTCAGTATAGTTCGCTTGTGGACTAAAACCATGGAGTTTGTTTTTGATGTGGGGACAGCCATGAAAAATAAGGCTTGCTGATTTCTGGCCAGTAGTCAAATCCTGGACTCCCAAAAGGTGTAGAGGATTCTAGTTCATTGAGTTAACAGCATTGAATGTGTTCAAGATGGTTTCATGAATCTAATGGTTTGATTGTGTGGCTGTTATGCAGGTATACTGGGACTTATACAAAATGTCTGAACCTCGGTTCATACAATTACTTGGGGTTTGCTGAAGCAACAGGGCCTTGTGCAGAGGCTGCAGCCGAAGCAATCAAGACGTATGGTTGCGCTATGTGCAGCCCTGTTCAGGAGCTTGGTGAGTTGGATATGTAGACATCATTTTTAGCATAGAAGATCTGAAACCTTCATGGGCTATCAGTGATGTCACAGTTGAGATAACAATCAGTTTCAGAGATGTGCTGTGTTCCAACATTAGGGCTAACCTGAGGAATGACTATGAGTCACTGATGTGTCTTTGTATCTGAGTCAGTGTAGTGCCACTTCCTTATTGATAAAGTAAAGGTATTTCTGTAACAGGCCGCGGAGACCCATAGGCTTGTGAGATGTTTAGGTCCCCACATTTTCTAGACAGTCGGCTCATAGATGGCGGTGAGGTTGTCAGCCTTACGTGCCGGCAGGCCCTCTACCCCTAAGAACATTCCAAGAATATTCCTGGTACTCATTTCTGTTAGAGGCTGAGTCGACCCCTGGGCCATAGTGCGGCTGGAAGGATTAGGTCAATTTGAAAAAAATCCAGTGACTTCATCGGGATTCAATCCTCCGACCTTCCGGCTTGTAGCATAGTGCCTCAATCAACTATGCTACCATGTGCCCCCCTTCCTTATTGGTGCACTAAGCAACATGAAGATGCCCTCCCAACATATTCATTTTCTGGAGAGTTCTATCTTCTGGGACATAACGCCATTTAGTCCATTGAAAGTCAGCTGATGTTTTGGAGGAATATGCTATCTCCATCTTCAGGGTTGAAGAATATTCACAAGAAACCAGCTTGAAGCAGTTAGCAGCTGAAGATATAGGTAAATGTTCTTCCAAAATATAGGTTAACTTTTAATGGACTACATGTTGTATCCCAGAAGGCAGAACTCTTCATAACCACTGATGTGAGAACATGAAATCCTAGTTATTATTTCTGTGGTTTATATTATGATGCTGTCAGTATATATCTATGAATGGGAGGATTAGTAAATGATTAATTGGAAGTTATTTGGATGGAGGTTATCATGGCCTAATTGGGGTACTGAAGAAATACTTCCGGATATCTGGCTTCCTGGCCAAAATTTGAACTGCAGTTCTAGTGTACAAGTCTACAGCATTGCCACTACACTAACCCTCACCCTCCCAACTTTTGTTTCAAAGATTACAAATCAGCAGTATCAGTTTTGGTCATTTGTTGGATGTTCTTGTTGTAGGAACACACCCATTGGTGTTGGAGCTGGAGAGAACGACAGCGCGGTTCGTGGGAACTGAAGATGCCATTGTATTTGGGATGGGATTCGCTACAAATGCTTTGAACCTGCCAAGTCTAGTCTCTCCAGGTTGCCTTGTGTTAAGCGATGAGAAGAACCACGCATCTCTTATACTCGGATTGCGGCTTTCTGGGGCTACTATAAAGGTTTTCAGGCACAACAGTATGTATATGTTAATGTGTGATAGACTTGTATACATATGAGGTTTGAGATTTTCATTGCAGGGGAGGTGAATACTGTGGCCATCTGGGTTATGACACTGTAATCTGGTAAGTGGTTACCATTTTCTTTTTTTAATTTGCTTAGTGCGGGGTGGAGTCCAACTGGGTCCACTCGGCATGGCGGCCACCGATTGGCCTATTGTAGCCTGCCCCAGGTGATGGTGATGACGGAGAATTTGGTGGAATGAAGATTGTCAGGGGAAACTGAAGTATTCAGAGAAAACCCTCCCCATCGCCACTTTGTCCACCACAAATCCCACTTGACCACACCCGGGATCGAACTCGGGCTGCCACGGTGGGAAGTCAGCGACTAACCGCTTGAGCTATGGCACGGCCTAAGTGGTTACCATAGTTTTGCTTGAATATATTGCTTCCATGCTGAGACTTGAAGCAAGCCAAGTCCAGAAAGAGGCAGGTAAGTGCATATTGTTTTCATTCATAAAGTGTCTTGCATATGTAGCATATGGACTTTCTGCAAGGTGTCCTTTGGAAAGAGTATTGGAAAAGACAACAATTTATTACATGGATTAATTAAGTTTGGTTTTTGCATAAATATTATTCCCTTTGTTTACATTATAATTAAATTATTAGTTATGTTTTCTTTTCCAATTGACCCAGATGTTTCAGTGGGGTCTGTACCCATAAAGCACCCATTAAATATCGTGGGGAGTGAAAAACTCTCCTACCTCAGTGTCAATGGTGCTTTCCCATTTCCATAAACAAGGCTGTGGACACAAGTCATACCAGAATAACCACTGTGTCTGTAGTGGATCAGACGATACTGTGTAATTTGAGAGTCACTGGATCCAGTGGGAAACAAATTCTATCAGAATTTGTTTAGTTTAATTTTGCTGCTGTCAAAATTTCAGTTTAATTTAGTTTTTAAGTTTTGGTTTTGATTTGTTAAATGGTCAGGAATAACCAGTACAGCTAGTCAACTTTAAATACTAAACATAATAATTGTATTGGACTTTTGAGGTTCTCACAGCAGTTGTTATGGCAGACTCTGCCACCTGCTCATGCTGGTGCCTTGGGCAGCTTATTCGACTGTGGAGAGGGAGGTGATCTGTTCCTCCAAAATGTCGGTTGACTTTCAACGGACTTCATGACGTTATATCGCAGAAGATAGTATTCTTTATGATGATTGTGTTTTGCAGATGTCAGTAGCCTGGAGAAGTTGCTACGAGAAGCCGTGGTGTATGGACAACCACGCACTCGCAGACCATGGAAGAAGATTCTTATCGTAGTGGAGGGAGTGTATAGTATGGAAGGATCAGTAGTGCGCTTGCCAGACATTATACGTCTCAAGAAGAAGTACAAGGTACTAATCTTGTATCTTGCCGTTTATGTGCACGTTTCCAACTAAATGTTGCAAAATTATGGTTATTACATTGTTAATCTGTGTCTACGTGTAATGATTTGAGTGCTGCCAAACAGAGTTTCGTGAAACGTTGTATTGGTGAGTTTTACAGGAATTTGTGGACACAGCTGAGGTTTGATTAAAATGAATGTTTTATTTTATACGATATTCTTAAATGAAGTTGCTAATACAGTTTGTTAAAACAGCTGGCAGTAAAACTCCAGAGAAAGTAATATAAAATATTGCCATTCAAAATTGGAGCACACTAAACAGATACCATTGTTACAGGCATATCTCTACCTGGATGAGGCCCACAGCATTGGAGCTATGGGCGAGAATGGCAGAGGTGTGCTGGATTATCATGGCTGTGATCCAAAAGATGTGGACATTCTCATGGGGACCTTCACCAAAAGCTTTGCCTCAGCAGGCGGATATATAGCTGGGTCTAAGGTATGTTAGGAGACAGAGAGGCCCTGGGGTAGCGTTTCCCCAGTGCACTTTGGTTTTGCCCTGCAATCTATGATTCCATGTGTTCCATACTCGTCTGTCATCAGGGGCTGGTATGGTAGACCCATGTGTGGCTGCAGTACCAAATGGACTCTGTCTCACCTCACTCCTGAAGTTTGAATTTTGAGGTTCAACTGACATGGACATATTTTCTTTGCTCACTGTCTACTGGATCAAAAACATATAGCATGTGTTTGAGGCTTCAGGCTAAATGAATGTGTACCTATTCTGTGAGGTCCATTAAGTAAAGCTTATCCTTATCACTAGGCAGATTTTGTAGCATTTTCTGGGTAAAGCCAAGGTTATCTACTCTAGGATCTGTTACAGAAAGCTAGACCTTTTCACTAGGTCTTGCAGTGAGGGAAATTGGCTGTGTGTATTCAGGTAAGAATAAAAGATAGAATCCACACAGAATTTTGATGGGGAAACGTTTTGAATAGAAGTCACAAGACCAAGAATCTTGGCGGGGGGAACTTTGAGATATATCTGAGGGTTAATTAAACTCTTTCATATAGATTGTTGTCATCTGGTGATTAATATGCACACTACTAAGAACAGTGTCAAAGATTATATTGAACAGACATATAACAGCATGCGGTCATAATGTGACAGTAAATTTGTAAGTTGGTGCCAGAAGGTTTCTAATAGTGGAATTGAATATGCAAATTGTGACTGAGATCTTCTGACAGAGGATAGCAAAAGGTTAATTAGTAAGTATGTGTCATGGCCCCAAATGGCACTGTAGCACCCATCTTCAGGATGAACTGTAACACTACCAAAATGTTATGTGAACTAGTCACACAGTCCAAGAGAAACATAAACCAAACAAGTATGTATTCCAGCCACTCTTGCATTGTCCCATTTTCAACATTGTAATGTTATGTTATAAATGATATGCTTAACATAGTATGCAGTTAAATTAATAAGAGTATTGTTTTGAAGTATTTGGTATCAAGTGATGCATGATCTGGTTTGTGTTCTGTTCTAGCATCTTATTAATTATCTTCGTGTAAATAGCCATGCTGCCTGCTATGCATCAGCCATGTCTCCTCCTATTGCCCAACAGATTATCACATCTATGAAAATAATTATGGGCGAAGACGGCACTCTTGAGGGTGTGTATACAGTGTGATGTGTTCTTTATTTACACTGCCAGTTATGTATCTAGAGCATTACAAATCATTAAGATCCAAGAAATGGCAAGGACTTCTATTCTTTTTAAAAAAAGCATGATCACCTTATATAATAAGGTCCCTGAGCATATAAAATTAAAGAAAAATTTGGACTTTTTTTAAGAGGGACTTAAAATCCTTTATGTTGAAACATTCCATTTATTCTGTTGAAGAATTTATGTCCCTTTAATTCTTAAGTGAGTGTGTTATGGTTTTGTGTTATGACAAATATCTTGTCCTCACTTAATCTATAAAAAATTTTGTATGTAGGGTTTCTCTTGGTAATTGCATTGCTGCAAATGGGATGTGGTATTGTAGGATTGATTTGTATGAAATCTGTAGGTATTTTAAGTTTTATAGTATAGTCGACTCGCACGATATGTAGCAAGTGTCACGTAACTTCAAACAAGGCCAAGAGTAACCTTGAATGCGCTGAAGAAAAATTTCAGACAAGGGGGTGGAGGGTGTGAGAAGTGACAGGCAGCCAGTGGAAGAATAAGTGTTAAGAAACTCCTCCCACCACAAGCTATGCGCGGGATTTGACTAGGAATGCGGGGCCTTGTTCGAAGTTACGTGACACTGTCTATAATATGTAGTTACTGACTTGTTCTGTATCGAGAGGTTGTATCACCAAATATGGATTCTTGGAACAAATAGATTGATTGATTTATGTCACTAGAGTTCACAGTGAGAATTTAGACCAGTAGGTATACTATAGGTGTATAAAGGTCCATGATTTATCACCAGTGAATATTCAGATTAGTCTTCTGTGATGTGACATGGAGTAATCAGGGTGGATACCAGTGTTTCATAGTCAAAGTGACATCATCTCTTATGATGGAGGCAGCATATTCCTGCAGAATGTTGGTATTCACCTCCAGTGCAGAACACCACACTCTATATCAGTATGATACTTCAGTGTCACAGTGTAGTGGTTGGTTCTTCTGCTTGACAGTTAGGATGCCCCATTTTGTAATCTGTAATGAGAGAATTCTTCTCTTCACTGGACTGATTAATCATGCAAGTTACTAGTTGTAAGATGTAAACATCACCTCTAGGCTTACATATTAAATGTCCTTGTTTTTTGAAGGAGGAAGATTTTGACTTGAATTAACATTTTTTTAAGCAGTAGAAGAGTTGGTTGAGGCACTATGCTACAAGCCGGAAGGTCGTAGGATAGAATCCCAATGAGGTGGATTTTCTTTTTCAATTTTCCTGATCCTTCCAGCCACACTATGGCCCTGGGGTCGGCTCAGGCTCTAACAGAAATTAGTACCAGGAATGTTCCTGGGGCCAAAGGGTGGCCGGCGCGTAAGGCTGACAACCTTACCGCCATCTGTGAGCCGACTGTGTAGAAACTGTTGGAGCCTCGACCTCTCACAACCCTTTAGGCCTCCACGGCCTGATACATGGATAGCTTTACTTTTCTTTTTTTACTTACTAAATTTGAGTTCAGGAATGAAGGTACATTTCTGGTTAGTGTTAACTTTTTTTTGTCTATGTCATTAGATGACATTTTACCTGAAATATACATTGGATTGACTGATGCACTGTTTTTGTAGTCATTCTAATCAGTTCTGACACTTTTGGGTTTAAATGGCTTGAAGTTTGAAGAATTTTACTTTTCTTTCCATTACAGTATTATAATTATCCTCGTAATATATTTTATGATTAGGTAAGAAACGCATTATGCAGCTGGCTCGAAACACAAGATACTTCCGACAGAGACTGAAACAGATGGGCGTCATATTATATGGGAATGATGACTCACCAGTTGTTCCTTTTCTAGTCTACATGTTCTCCAAGATTGGGTATGTACCTGGTGAAAGTCCTTTGGCTTATATATCTTATTGTTTTCTGCAATTGGAGTTTCATTCCTTGCAGGGGAAGAAATATTTTTGTTGTTGATTAGATCCATACCAGCTCTGGGGTCTGTACATCCTTCTGTTCAGGGAAGCAGAGGTGCTTGTTGCTTGCCTGAATTACTATTTGATCTTGAGGCAATGTGTTCTGAAATGCCAGTAATTCCTACCAGACTTCACAGCATCAAATCCCAGAACATAACACTCTTCAAAAATGTGTAACTTAAATTGGATAAGAAGTTGTTGCCTATTCTATGAAGATTTAGTTGATAACTATAGCTAAAGGAGCTGCAAATGGAATGTCAGAAAGGTGTTAGGATGGTGTGGAATAAATTTATTTCATTGAGACATGGGGTATGCTCTGTAATAAGCCTCTGGGTTCAACAAATGCAGAGAATCTCTTCACTAACTGAGCAGCCATTAAGCTCTCAGTAAGGACTCTGCTTAATGGAGTGAGTCAGTGAGTTAGGAATGTAATTTGATCTCTTTCTGTATTTCATAATTCTGTAGAATTTATTTTGCTCTACAGGTTTATTCAGCCAATAATTTGCAGATGAGTGCAAGTCATCTGTTTATGTTAGACACTCACTTGTGTATATGTTGTTTTTGCAGGGCTGTTGTTCGAACTTTACGAACAAGGAATATTGCAACTGTAGGAGTAGGTTTTCCAGCAACGCCTCTCATGGAGGGACGCATTCGATTCTGTCTCTCAGCAGCACACACAAAAGAGCAGCTTGATAAGGTAAAGGTTCAGTGTTTGCTGTACCTTAACCAATGCACTACCTTAAACCCCCCCAGAACATAATATCACTTAAAAAAAGTCAACACAAACTTGTAATTATTTTTTTGTATGCACTGGGGGGTTTGGTGTATTTGTAATATGTAATAAAAGAGTTATATTGGTGTTTTGCTTATGAAGTGAATATTTTATATTATGTTCTGTTGTTCAATTACTACAGTTATAATGCTAGTTATATTTTGTTGGTGTGTTGGTTTTTCTTTACTGCTGTTGTAGCTGTTCTGAACGTTTTGTGTAGTTGGTTCTGTTTTAATATAGGAGGTAAGGTATGTGTGTTTCTAACTGGCGTTCATTTCCTGCAGTGTTCTGAATACTGAATTATGTGTATCAGTGTTTGTCATTCATGTTTATGTTATTTTTACTGATTTTGTATATGTGGTATTTTTATATTGTGTTTGTGTTCCTTTTTTCTGTGTTATAATGTCCACAGCATCAG